TCAGACGAGGGCTCTGCATCGGAGGCAGAAATGGGGCCAGGGGCCGTCCGACAGTTATTAGCTGCCTTCGGAGTCAGAGATCAGTGGGGAAGAAGAACAGCTGGAGCCTGTTCCCAGTATGCACATGCGCAGAGCTGCCGGAAGAAGGGAACAGCTAAGGAACAAGGGTCGACTTGGGAGTAAGGGAACAGGTGGATGGAGAAATGGATGGAGAAAGAGGAGCGAAAGGGGAGTGGTGTTTGCAGGAGACAATTAGTTCGTTTAATTAGTGTGAAGATTTGTTCCTGACTCCTTGCCAAGTAACTGCTGCTACAGTATGGCATTTGGGAGATATCGGCCTGGCAACTCTCCAAGCCTGATCAAGGTCTGTAGTTGTGAAATCTCACGAAAGACTGTTTGCCGGGAACTTTGCTGGAGAGGAATTCCCTTTGACCTAAATAAAAGGGGTTGTTATCGGCTTCATGATCTTGGGAAGCCCAGGTGAGAACACCTCGTTAGCTTGGTATGTAACAATTATTATTTTTTTTAGGAATCTCCCAAGTGAGCCATCAATAAAAATTCCAGGGTCTCAACTTTCCTCACTTGCCCTGCGGTGAAACCATTATTATATTTATTACAAATTATCTTCTGCAATTCTCTACAGGTAGTCCTCGACTTAACAACAGTTCACGGAGTGACCGTTACAGAGTTACAATGGCGTCGAAAAAAAGGGAGCTAGGACCATTTTTCACAGTGACGAACCTTTTAGCATCCCCCAATGGTCACGCGATCAAAATTCAGACACGTGGCAACTGATTCATTCTTACGACCGTTGCTGTGTCGTAAGGTTGTGCTTGCGACCCTTTGACAAGCAAAGTTGATGATGGGGAAGCCCGATTCACTTAACAACTAGGTTACTAATCTATATATTTAAAAGCGAAATACCCTTCATGCATCATCACAAAATCTCCAGAAATATAAAGCCTACAAATGTGAAATTTGGCACGTCTGTTCCTCTTGGCTTCTAGGGGCTCACTAAAATCCTAAGAAAGGATTTTTCGAAATGACCCTCAGAGCATTCATATTTCCTATATTATTATTATTAACACGCTCTGATGCTAAAGAGTTCGACTCCCCCTCCCCACCTGAAAAGAAATCTGTTCAAAATGCAAAACACAAGCAGAGGAGTTTCAGTTTCACAGCACCAAGCAGCTTTAGTACAGAATAGTTGAGCTAAGCCACACCCAGGCTCCTTGCTGTCTCCTTGCTCACACAGCAAATACTCTTTCGGTTTCCAAACAGCCCTCAACTCTCTCACACACTGACAGGATGCTAGCCAGATGAATACCAATGGATGCTGGTAGGCAGAGGCACAATTCCACCACCACCCTTATTTTCCTCCCCCCAAACTAAGTTTGACCACATAGTTTCGTAGCGAAGCACCGGTATCGAGCTAGATGAAAATAAAAGATAAAGGAGATAAGGAGTATTATTTAACGTGGAATAGGTCTTATCAAGGAGATAAGAGGTAAAAATCAGATGAAAAAAGAGTATTGCTATGTATAAATTAAACATGAACATTGTTTATAACTATGAGTATGCTAATATAATCTACAGGATTGCAAATAAGCTAACATAATTATAAATGTGGTTAAAATCATTCTGTTGTACTACTACGATTGTTATTGGTATATATGTTACTATTTCTTTTTTCCCCCCTTTCTTTTGTAAAATGGTATGCCCAGACAATACACTGTATTCAAAATGTGTATATATAAATAAAATAAAAAATTTGACCCAAAACAAAAACAACAAGAACCAGGTTAGTAACTTGTCAACTGCAGTGATTCACTTAATGACTGTGGTGAGAAAGGTCATAAAATAGGGCAAAGGTAACAATGCATGTCTCATTTAACGACAGAAATGTCCAGGACTACCTGCATTATATATTCAATATATTTAACTACATATTAAGCAATGCTTTGTGATTGGTGGCTCTTTGGACACGCTTTCCAGTTTCGAATCGTAGCCTGAAACTTGTTTCCTGCTCTGTTTACATAGTCACAGAAGAATAACAGCATAACAGAATTGGAAGGGACCTTGGAGGTCATCAAGTCCAACCCTCCCCTGCCCAAAGCAGGAGACCCTACACCAGGAGTTTTTGCAGCTTTAAAACTTGTGGACTTCGACTCCCAGAATTCCTCCTCCAGTCATTTTAGTTCAAAAATTCTGGGAGTTGAAGTCCACAAGTCTTAAAGCTGTCAAGTTTGAAGATGCTTGTTCTAGAATAATGTTTCTCAATGATGGCCGCTCAAAACTGTCTGGACTTCAACTCCCAGAATGCCTCAGCCAGCAATTCATCCCAACTAGTAACATTCTTCCATGTCTTGCACAAAGATGCATATTAAGCTGAACAAGGGTCTTCAAACTTAGCAAGTTTAAGAATTGTGGACTTCAACTCCCAGGGTTCCTGAGCTAACATTAGTGGTAAAAGAATTATGGGAGTTGAAGTCCACAAGTCTTAAAGCTGTCAAGTTTGAAGATCCCTGATCTACATTTTCTATCTTCTATCTTCATATCTATCTATCTATCTATCTATCTATCTATCTATCTATCTATCTATCTACCTACCTACCTATCTATCCATCCATCCCAAGGGTCTTCCATCTTGGCAACTTTAAGACTTGTGGCCTTCAACTCCCAGAATTCCTGAGCTAACATTAGTGGAGGAGGAATTATGGGAGTTGAAGTCCACAAGTCTTAAAGCTGTCAAGTTTGAAGACCCTTGTCCTATACCATTTCTGACACATGGCAGTCCCGGCTCGTCTTGAGAATCCCACAACTTCCGAAGGCAACTTCTGAAATTCTGAATTCTGAAATTACTACCAGTATTAAAACAAGGAAGACACACGATCCCTAGGGTTAATGGATGTGTTTCTCTCAGTCCACAGGGCAACCAAGAGATAAGAAACGGCATACACAATGATAAAACTTTACTTCCTGGTGTGCTACAGATCAAAGAAAGGCAAATCCAACATAACATTAACCCAAAACTATTTGGCAAATCATGTAAGCCAGGTAATTGGATTCCATCTTGATTTCCCACAGTGATATATATATATATATACACACACAACACAATACAACCCCTTGTGCAATACATTTGCATATTTAAAATGCTTTTCTTCAGTAGCGTCACTTTAAATCAGGGAACTAAAAGTGCTATTAGGCCTAAGGTTAACTTATTTTCTAACCTCCACCCTAGTCATGGGGATTCCTTGTTCATTAACTCTTTATCTGTGCACCACAGATATCCTGTCTCCCCTGGTCCTCCTCCTCCCTAGACTAGCCAGGCCCAGTTCCTGCAACCCTCCATTGTATATTTTAGCCTCCAGTCCCCTCATCAACCTGGTTGCTCTTCTCTGCACTCTTTCTAGAGTCTCAGCCTCTTTTTTATAATGTGGTGACCAAAACTGGATGCAGTACTCTAGGTGTGGTCTTACTAAGGCTTTATAGAGTGGCATTAGTCCCTCCCTTGATCTCGACTGTATCCCTCAAAGAAGCATTGGCTTTTTTTGGGCTGCTGCCACATACTGCTGACTCATATTTAATTGGCTGTCCGCTAAGACACCAAGAACCCTCTCACAGTTACTGCTATTAAGCCTAGTTTCACCCAGTCCAGAGGTGGGATTCAGCAGGTTCTGACCAGTTCTGGAGAACCAGTAGCATCAATTTGGAGTAGTTCGGAGAACCGGCCAATACAGCCCTCTGACTGCCCCCGGCCCCACCTATTCTCTGCCTCCTGGGTCCCAGGTGATCGGCTGGGTCTGCACAGGAGAACGGAGCTGGAAAGCAGGTTAGTGGGGTGGGCAGGGAATGGAGATTTTGCAGTATCCTTCCCCTGCCAGGCCCACCAAGCCACGCCCACAGAACGGGTAGTAAAAACATTTGAATCCCACCACTGACCCAGTCGGTATGTGTATTGTATTGTACTGTACTCTATTCATTGCACTCCATTCTAACTATTCCATTCCATCCCATTCCATTCTATGCTAACCTATTCTATTCTTCTATAGCAATAGCACGTAGACTTATATACCTCTTTACAGTGCTTTCCAGCCCTCTCTAAGCATATTGCCCCCAACAACTTGGGTCCCCATTATACCCACCTCAGAAGGATGGAAGTCAACCTTGAGCCTGGTGGGATTTGGACCGGCAAATTGTAGGCAGCAGGTTGCAGCAGAAGTCGCTTGCAGTATTGCACTCTAACCACTGCGCCACAGGGGCTCCTTAATATTCTAGTCTAGTCTAGTCTAGTCTAGTCTAGTCTAGTCTAGTCTAGTCTAGTCTAGTCTAGTCTATTTCTAGTCTATTCTCTACTCCTAATTGTTATTTCTATTCTATTCTCTATTCTCTATTCCTAATTCTTATTTCTATTCTATTCTATTCTATTTCTATTCTATTCTATTCTCTATTCCTAATTCTTATTTCTATTCTATTCCATTCTATTCTATTCTCTGTTCCTAATTCTTATTTCTATTCTA